TTTTTTTGTTAAATCCATCCACCCACTACTACATGCTAAGCACTGTGTCTGACACATGGACATCATGCCAGACACAGTGAACACGCAAGTTAGCAGGTGATGCAGATAATAAATTCATTACACTAAGTTACCTGCCAGAGCGATGTTCAGAGTACAATAACTACTTAAAGACAGGAAAGTTGACTACACCCAGGACACTGGGTGTGTATGGAGAAGGTAAGCTTGTGCTGGTTTTTATTTTTGTTTTGCTTTTTATTAAAACAGTCTTTAATACACACAAAAACATAAAGACTAGTACTACAAAGCTCCAACTGATTACCTGGCTTCAAAAATTAGTAAGTCATGGTCATTTTTGATTCTTTAATCCCACTTTCTTTTCCCATCCCTTTGTTTTGAAGTAAGTCTTAGACATTTTTAATCACTGAATCCATACACTGAGCTGCGTAGATCTGTGGATCTTCCACTAGTAACTTCCTTCCCCAACCTAGTCTTCTGCCCTGAAAGCATTAATATATTCTGATTCCTACAGGACTCCAAACCCTTAACAAGACGTTGTCAGAACCTTTCGAGTTGGCTAACTAAGGCTAAGCTGATCCAGTGAAAAACTGCATTCTGTCTGTTTGGAAGGATGACCAGTCTTCTGGTCCTCATAAGACTGCTAATACTTTGGTGGCTTCCTAAGTTCCTAACGTTTGCACAAAACGGTAGCCACATTCTCCAGTCCCCTGTGCTTTCAGTAATCTCGGGAGAAACTTCACACAGTATGACGTTGGCCCGATAGGCTGAGCCCGCTCAGAGGTGTTTCCTGTCACTGTCTTGATCTCCAGGGAGTTGAGAGGCTGGTCCCGTCTGAACATTTGGCCTTTCTACCTCTCACCCCTTCCACATTTTCATCCATGCAGTCCTATTGTAATCCACTACTGTCCACCTCTCTCAGCACCCTTTCATTCAAACCTTCAATATTTCCTTCTCTCAAACGCTACAATGTCTAAGCATCTAACTGCCTTTAGCACCCCACCCCAGTCATCGCACCGGGGTGGCTTCTTGAAACTTTCCATGGCTCCAGATGCTCACTGGAGCAAGACCCACCTTACCACAGGCCGGGGGCGCCGCCAAGCTCCAGGCGTCCCGGGTGTTTCTCCAGCTTACTGCGCAACACCAACACGCTCTGCGCTCTCACCTGGGAAAGCTACGCCCACAGATTCCTCGCTCACAGCTCAAGAGCGCCCCATACTCAAGAAGTCCTAGTCTTCTTTTTGGAGACGAAAACTGGGAATGGGCACCTTACCCAAGGCCAAACTATCTGTAAGTAGAAGAGCAGGGCAGTATTCAAACTCGCGGCTCCAGACGCCGCGAGCTGGACCGCGAGTCCCAGCCCCACTCACAACCTTCGCGGCAGCAGCTGTCAAGAGAAGGGGGAAGAAGGCTTCTGATTGGTCGCTGCCAGGGGCGCGCGGGGGCGTCGCGGGGAGATGACGCAATGCCACGACTCCTTAAAGACACCAGCCGCGCGCGCCGCGATTGGCGCAAGCGCGTTCTGGGGCTCCGGCTGCGTTTCTGAGTCTTGCGAGCCCGGCCGGGAGGGCGGGTGCGCGTGCGCGCCGAGTGTGTCGAGAGAGCGCGCGCCGGGGACGCGGGCGGTTCGAGGGGTCGGGCCTGGCCGCCTCCCGAGCGCGAGCGGCTGCTGAGAAGCGGGCGCCGCGATGGCCGAGGGCAGCGCAGTGTCCGACCCTCAGCACGCCGCGCGCCTGCTGCGAGCGCTCAGCTCTTTCCGCGAGGAGTCCCGCTTCTGCGACGCGCACCTGGTCCTCGACGGAGAGGAGATCCCGGTGCAGAAGAACATCCTGGCGGCGGCCAGCCCGTACATCAGGTGAGAGGGGCCGCGGCCCGGCGCGTCCGTCCCTGAGCCCCCGCGCCCAGGCCCCGCCGACGCGTCCCTCCGGCCGACGGCCCGGGGCCCTGCGCCTTCGACCGCTCGTGGGCCGGCTCGCCACCTCGCGGTCCGCCCGGGCCCAGCCCGCGGCCCCTCCGTTCCCTCCCCGGGTTCCCACCCCACCGGGCGGCTCAGGCCTCGGAGCCCGGAGGGCCCGGGACCCGGGACAGGCGAGCAGGGCGGGGCTGCCCGCGTTCGCCGGTGCTCGCGGGTGGCCGCCCCGACGCCCCTCCCCGGGGAGCAGCAGCACAAACAGCTCCGCGGCGGCGGCGGCGTGTGCGGGCGTGTGGGCCTGTCGGAGCTGCTCCTTGGAATAGGTACCGCGACCCCCAGGCCGAGGACCTTCTCCTTGCCTAGTGTGACTTTCCATTCCTTAGTGAGAACTGAGGGAAAGAAAGGTTGTGGGTCACAGGCACACGTTAAATTAAGCTCTTGTGGAATTTTAAAAGACCCACTGCAGTTCTCCTGATGCAGTTACAACCCTCCGACCGGGAGATTCTAGCGCCCGAAAAGGCATCTTAAGACTTAAGTAAAACAAAGCTTAACCTGATTTGCTGCTCAACTAACCAGGTTAGTTAAAAGGCGATCAAACAGTGCTTATAAAGCGTATCAGATGTTGTAGGAGGCTGCAGTCTTTTCTTCAAGCAACTTTCCAGCAACCCGGGTTGCTCTTTTAATAAAATGGGACAAAAATGCTAAGAGCTGGAGAAAGTGCCCAGTAAGCTGGTTAAATATAGGCTAATGGTAGAGAATGTCATTAGAATTGACAGGAGAGAAAAAGCAAAATGATGTGTACTGTATTCTTAGTGCTTTGACCCAGCAGAACTCAGCACACATACTACCTCTTAACCTTTGCATTAAGGGACATTTGGGCTAACTCAGAAGCAGTTCAGGTACCCTTGAAGCTTCTGACTTCTGGATCCTTCTTGTAACTGCACTTGCGTGCTTAGTGGTGGTGGTAGGGAGGTGGTACAGAACGTAGATGTCCAGTGTGACTGCGCTTAACTGGCAGTTCAAAGATCAGGGCAACCAGTATCAAGTTGGATCAGCAGCTAGGGACTTTGCTGTACCCCATGAAATGCTTGTTTGGAGAAATGCTTAGAAAATCTTTCGATCTGTTATTGTTACAGTTCTTTAAATGGCATCTAGTTGGCTTAAAGTTGCAAACCATAAAATAATGTACTTGACATCTCCCTTCATTTTCCTCCATAGCACTTACCTCTATAATATACCCTGTGTTTTACTCATTTAACTTGTGGGTCTTTCCTAACCGCAGCATAAGCTCAGGGAGGTCAGGGACTTGTGTTCTCTCCTGGGCCCCTCACACCTGGTGGCACGTGTTGAATTGGCTGGCTACCTGCCTGCCTGTCTTCCACCGCAGCACGTGGACCCTGGCGGCTTGGCCCCCTTCCGTTCCCATGTTAGCCAAGCAGTTCTATGTATCCTTAGACCCAGCTGAAGACTACTTCCTGTGGCGAGCTTTTACTTGTATTAACTATGAGTTTTGGAAGATGACTTAGTTTGCCCTCTGCTCTGACAGTCTGCTGAAGGGTAAAATGTGTCTTCATCTCTTTTCATCTTTGAGCAGCCTGTGAAGAAGTAATAGTGTTTTGAATGCCATCATAGTACTGGACACTAGACTGCATAAAAGGCTACACAAGCAGTAGCACCAGCTGGCTACGAAGACCTCCCATGGTCTGGATTGGTTACTTTCTAAGGAAAATGGGAGCTGCAGGGCCATTCTGTGATCAGTGTTACCAGGTCACTAGATCTTAATGGTTGAACAAGATAGGGGTAGAGTTAGGCACTAAATGTATGGTGCCTCACTTCTTGCTCTTGCCAAACCAAGTTACAGCATAACTTGTACGACTCTGGTGTGTAAACCTACTGCTTGATGGCTGTATATGTTATTATTATTATTATTATTATTATTATTATTATTATTTTGTGGTACTGGGGATCAAACTCGGGACCTTGTGCTTGCCAGGCAGGCACTTATGCCACTGAGCTATGTCCTTGACACTGTATGTTATAATTTCAATGTATATGAAGTACTTTCACGTACTGTCTCATTTTCATTTTCAACCATTTTGTGAAGTTGGTAGGGCAGCAGGGTTTTTTTGTTTTTTGTGTTTTGGGTTTTTTTGCAGTACCTGGGATTGAACCCAGGACCCTGAGCTTGCCAGGCAAGCACTTATTCTACTGAGCTATCTCCCTGGCCCCAGGGCAGCAGTTTTTAATATTTTACCATTATACATGGATTCATTAATATTTTTCATTGATAGATCATATTAAATTGATTTGGCTATTGAAGTGGTAGAATTTTCTTGTGGTTCTTTAAAGTTATCAGTTTTAGGTCTGTTTTAAATAAGTTTGGGTTCTTTATTACTAACCTAGAAACAAACTGTGTAATAATTCTAAATAACAATAGTGGGGATCTTTACAATGTATTTGTTTTATTCCAGTGGCATTTTAGAAAGGAAATGAATTTGAATGTCCTAGAACATGGTTTGTTTTTTTTTTTTCTTTTGAAAAAGCATTTAGATAGGATTCAGAGATAAATTCAGTATTTAAAAATTCGGTTATCTCTGAAGTTTATAGAAACCTGGGTTTTGCTTAATGTCCTTAGTTAGCCTAGGTGTAGTAACTGTCACAGTGGTCCAGAGTTGTATAGTTAGGAGCCTTGTATGAATTATTTCCTGTATGCTACACAAAAGGAGCCAGTCCAACTTGATCACACTAGAATTAAAATATTCATTTGACATGCTTCCTACCCTAATTACTCTAATCTTTTTCCACAGCTTTTTGGGGGGTCTATCATTTGTTTTTACTCCTAACAGCAATGATTGGCAAGATGCAATATTAGACTTTCTATAAGAAGGGGAAAAGGGGAGAAACTTCATTTCTACAACAAAACTCTCCTCATAAGCTCAGAGGCATCTGATAGTTTGGGCTGTGTAGAGTGTGTGCCCTGCAACCTCAGACTGCAGATGTTCCTGGAGGGCAGGCAGGACCTCCCAGAGTCTTTCTGGCTCAAGAAGTGGGATGCTGCTGTTTCCAGAGGCCCTTTCCAGCTTCTTATTCTGTTACCTGCATGGTATTTTTATTTTTGGTTTGTTGGGAAAACTACACTTAGCTAAGGCCCTTTAAAACAAGATTGAGCTGATAGATAAAATGACCCACAGTCTTTTCAGTCTCAGCAACCCTGAGTCCTTCAGGAAAAGTCTCCCTGAGGCATACAGGAAATTTCTGTTCTTTATAGTATTGCAGGACTTGCTGCACTTTGTGTCTAAGGCTCTTCTCGTGCTGGCCCAGTCCCATTGATGAGTTTGGACCTCCTCTCCTGTGAGCTGTGGCTTTTGGGGAGTGATGTATGTGAAAAGAATTTGAAATTGAGTCTCTGTGTTTCTGCAGTGACATTTTAATGACTTCGTATAGGTTCCTGGTCCCCCATTCACTTTGGGCATGTAGGGTTTTCTAGGCAATACTAGTTTGTTTAGTTTCAGGCCTAGATACTAAAGAAAGATTCCCCAAATTTTGATCTTATGGTAGGTCACTAACAGTATTGGTGGGTTTTGCTTTGTCCTTTTTGTTTTTTTAAGAGAAAACTGGTCCAGTAATGGTGGAATGAGACAGCAGGCCTCAAATTCAGCCTAGACCAGTAGTGGTGAACCTATGACACATTTATTGTCTTTCTTTTTAGACAAGAGTTAATATATGAGTTCTTTTCTAAATGAAAAACTCAGTCAGTGTTCAGGTTTAATTGCAGTGTTGGCTCTTTGCGATAAATAAGTGCTCTTGGGTTGTAGTTTGGGCATTCGATCTCTAATTCACCATTACTGGCCTAAACCACCTTGAACAACTTTTCTGGAACCTCCTCTCCTCTGTGCAGTAAGGTTGGTTGTGCTACTTGAAGCACAAATTTCCTTGAAGTCTAAATTATGTAGCTGTCTGCTATTATTGTTTTGCTTCATGTGCATGCGTTGTGGGAAGTCTCTTTCCAGTTTTATGGCTTTATTGTCCATTTAAATTTTTATCACACAGTGATGTTGAAACATTTCCCTTTCCCTGGCAGACAGAACTTTGTTGGGTGTTCTGTTGTGTAAATCTGGTCCTATAGCATGTTGTTGTAACAAGCATTTCATGGTGCTAATCTGGGTGTGTTCCAAGGCCTAATTACTGATGACACAGTTTTGTCATTTAAATCTAAAATTTGACTCAAAAAATGAAGATGTGTTACGTGAGTGTGCCAACTCTCCACGCTACATGTAATCTTTATGCATTACATGTACTAATCAAAAAAATTTAAAAAGAAATAATGGACTCATGGATGATGCTGATAAAACTATAAGGAGGCTGATATGATCTCTGTTGGTCCATATTTCACAGTAACATGGAAATCTCACCATTCATTTTATGGATGCCTGAAATTTGTCTTGTAGCTTAATGTCACAGGGGCACTAAAGTCCATTAGTATTATCTGCTGTGTTGGAGCATGCTATCAGTCCCCAATTCTCCCTTCTTGATTAATTTGATTGAAGAACTGAGCTTCCCCTTTACCAGAATTTTTGCTTCCCTGTTAGTGTGGAGAACCCATTGTTGTGGCCCCAGTGTGCACTGTGTTCGCCAGTGGTGAGGAAAGTCTACTGGGATGCAGGGTGATTTCAGAGTAGCACTTGCTTATTTTGCTTTCCTCATGATATTTTCAGTCTTCTCTTCTTTGTGTTGTACTTTGAGTCTGCAGTTTTTTTGTATCTATTGCGGCTCCTGAGTCCTTGTCATAAGGATTTTGAATAGCAATTGTAGCCTGCAGACTTCCTTAGTATTGAGTTCTTAGTGTTCAATTAGAAGCTCCAGGCTCTGAATCTTACTGAATCCCATGCATTCTGTAAATTGACTGTACTTATCTCTTGTCAAGCTCTTATACTGAGGAGAAA